CTATCAAGTTCTAAAATTTTACTAAGTAGCCATATTATTGATTAAGGGTAATTAAACTTGATTAGTGTTTAACTAGGATTAATGAAGTATTATGTAATCTTTTAAAAATTATACTATATTCCTAAAAACCCAAAATTCTTGCAAACAAACCCAAACACCTTCTTCTTCCTCCCGCCATTAACGCATCTCCACCTTGGTTGCTGTTTCTTCTTAGCTTCGTCTACATCTTCTTCTTCGTCTGCATCTTCTTCTTCGTCTACATCTTCTTCTTTCTCCTTCCTCTACATCTTCTTCTTCCTCATTCCTCTATATCTTCTTCTTCCTCCGCCATTAACACTTTCTTCTTCCTCCACCATTAACATCTTCTCCGCAAAAGATCCCCCTCCTTCTCCTCCTGACATTTCGTTTAAGTATGTGTATCTCCTCTTTACATTTTATATTTAGATTTACAAAGATTTAATAATAGATGGGGTTTGGGTTATGATTTTGATTTAGTTGTTTAGGTTGTTGAGTTGTGTTTGACATAATGCAAGTTGAAAGGAGTGAAATTTGTTGAAAATTTGTTATGAGTATGTGTTTTGGGTATGATGGACCGATTGTAGGTGAAGATGGCTGAAAATGTGTTTTGGATCTGATGGATCGCTTAAGCGATCTGGTATATGACAGAAGATCACTTAAGCGATCTGGTATAAGTCTGGTATATGGTACCAGATCGCTTAAGCGATCTGGTATATGACAGAAGATCGCTTAAGCAATCTGGTATAAGTTTGGTATATGGCAGCAGATCGCTTAAGCGATCAGATATATGACAACAGATCGCTTAAGCAATCAGGCTTATTTGTACTAGATCGCTTAAGCGACATACTGGATCGCTTAAGCGATGTATTAAGCAATATACTTCGGTGAGAAATTATATTCCATAATGTTTATTTAATATTTAGTCCCTTTTTATTAATTATTTTTTTCATATCAATAGAATGTGAAAAGAACACTTCGGTCTTTGTCAATCAGCACCATACATAAAACTGAAAAATCTATTGTTATTCAATTATTTTTGTTAGTTTTTGGCAAGAAAGTAATATAAAAAAATATAATATTGATATAAAATTGAACTCTACAACCATTTACTCTGCACTCTGTAGACCAAGGCTAAATAGACAAGATCGCTTAAGCGATTAAGGTAATTTACTTCATTATTTATTTTTCATGTTTATGGACATATGTTTAATTGACGTTTAAAAGAACTAATTAATTAAAAATAATAACGGTCATGGTCCACTGAATGAATCATACATCTGATATGTTTAATATAGACGTAAACATTCTATATCACATATGTTTAATATAGCCGTAAAAGAACTAATTTAATTAAAATATAATAACGGTTATAGTCTACTGAACAAACCGTACACATGATATGTTTAATATAGACGTAAACATTCTACACCATATATGTTTAAATAGCCATAAAAGAAATAATTTAATTAAAATAAATAACGTCATGATCCATGAACAAACCATACACCTGTATGTTTAATATAGACGTAAACTTCTCCATCATATATGTTTAATTTAGTCGTAAAAGAACTAATTTAACAAAATATAATAAAGGTCATGACCACTGAATGAATCATACACCTGATATATTAAATTAGACAAAAACATTCTATACCATATAGTTTAATATAGCCGTAAAAGAACTAATTTAATTAAATATAAATCGGTCATAACCACTGAATGAATCGTACACTTGATATGTTTATATAGAAGTAAACAATCTACACCATATATGTTTAATATAACCGTAAAAGAACTAATTTAATTAAATATAATAACGGTCATGGTCCACTGAAAGAATCGTATCATGATATGTTTAATATAGACGTAACATTCTAACCATATGTGTTTATATAGCTGTAAAAGAACTAATTTAATAAAATATAATAACGGTCATACTCTATTGAACAAATCATACCTGATATGTTAACATAGATGTAAACACTTACACCATATATATTTAACATAGCCGTAAAAGAACTAATTAATTAAAATATAATAACGATCATGGTCCACTGAACGAATCATCACCTGATATGTTTATATAGACGTAAACATTCTACACCATATATGTTAATATAGCCGTAAAAGAACTAATTTAATTAAAATATAATAACGGTCGGTCTTGGTCCACATGAAGAATCGTACACCTGATATGTTAATATAGATGTAAATATTATTATCATAAATGTTTAATATAGTCATAAAAGAGCTAATTTAATTAAAATATAATAAGGTCATGGTCTACTGAATGAATCGTACACCTATATGTCAAGTGTGTTAACGCTTAACCAATCAGTGAAATACAATAAAAATAATCCAAATACACTGGATCGCTTAAGAGATTTCATTCTCGTTAAGCGATCTGTGTATTTAGACTTAGTCGCTAAAGATCTGGTTGTATATGTTATCGCTTAGCAATTCTAGCTTTTACAACTTGGTCGCTTAACCGATCACGAACAAGACAGAATCAATAAGTGCCCAGATGCCCGATCGCTAAGCGATATTATTCTATTACTTAAGCAATCCTTTGCTTTTAACTTTGGTCGCTTAAGCGATTCAACATCGCTAAGCGATCATGTCCGAGGCAGAATAAACTTCTGCCTAGATGCACAATCGCTTAAGCGATAAGTGTATCTTAAGCAATTCTTCACTTACTATTGGTACTTAAACGATCGTAAGCGATATGAACAAGACAATAAATAAGTGCCCAAATGCAGGATCGATACACAATCGCTTATGGATTAAGTGTATCGCTTAAGCGATTCTTCGCTTTTATATGGTACAATCGTTAAGCGATCATGAACAAGATAATAAATAAGTGCCCAGCAGCAGGATCGCTTAAGAGATTCTATGTTTATTATTGGTCGCTTAAGCGATCATGAACAAGATAATAATAAGTGCCCAGACACATGATCGTAAGAGATCCTTTGCTTTTGACGTTGGTCGCTTTAAGCGATTATAATCGCTTAAGCGATCGTGTTGAGGAGAATCAACTTCTGCCCAGATGCACGATCGCTTAAGCGATCTAAAACGCTTTACCAGATCGCTTAAGCGATTTCTATATATATACCAGATCGCTTAAGCGATCCTTTACTTTTACTCTTGATAGTGATCTTCTATCATCTAGATCGCTAAGCGATCTTTGCTTTTACTCTTGGTCGCTTAGCGATTTAGATCGCTTAAGCGATCATGTCTGACGCTTTGAATTTGCGTCGGCATCCTCCTCTTCAGTTTCAATTTCAACTCTTGCCCTCCTTTGTTTCGCCAATAAAAATCTTCCGTCGATGCGTCTCCTTCCTAGTGTAGCAAGTTGTCATCATCAGAAGTTACTCCACCACAACTTCTTCTTTCCATTTTTGGTAGACCAATCGTGCTACAATTTGTGGGAGTATATGAGTTTTTTTCTGTTCTTAAGGACTCAGCCATTATAACTTAATCATGAATGGCAAGGAATGAAAAAAATGCAAATAGCAAAGAAATTGAGAAATGCAGAAAATTGGAAGAAAAAGCGAGGGAGAGAAAGAACTTGAGAGAATGTGTTATGTCTTTCAAATTTAAATCAACTTCTCTTTATATACTCTAACCTACAAATATTTAAATCTTTTCACCCAAATCCTTTTTACTATTTAATTAACACTTAAGGATGCCACGTCATATTTTTTAACCCAAAAAAAAAAAAAAAAAACGATTTTCACGAACATTTTGTTAAATGAAAACTTGGGATCGCCAACAGCTAAATTTCCTCCCCAAAGCTCTCCCACCCAGATCTCCTATACTAAACTAATCAAAGCCTGTAAACCCTAAATCCTGCACTAAATTGCCCAAGTTTCTTCCACTAAATGCCGAAATCTCTTCCCCTGAGTCGCCAAAATCTCTTCCCTTGAGTCGCCGAAATCTCTTCCCTCGATTGTTTCTGCAGTTCCTGGTAGAGCAACAATCAGTGAAGTCGTCACTTCGCCACCTCCGCGAATTAACAAATCTTCCGGCTCCTCCTAGCCCCTCCTAGTCCATCATCAATCCCTCTAAAGTAAACAAATTTCATGAAACCCAGGTCTCTCTCTATTTCTAATCTAATTTGTTTAATTTAAAATTATAATGACATTGCCTTAGTTTCTAATGGTTTATCAATTTGATGATTCGCAGGGCTTTGTTTACGAAGGTTTTTCATGGATTTAAATGCGATCACTTGATCTCTCTTGTGAGATTTTTTTTGTTAATTATGTTTATTATTTGTTTGATTAGTGATGGTAGTTGTTTTGCTTGGTGGGTTAATTTTGTGATAGGCAAAAATCTGAGCTGAAGAGATCAGATGTTGCAGACAATTTGAGTGGAGAAAGCAAGCTAAGTGAAGTTCGAACGAGTTCTGGAATGTTCATTGCTAAAGTAAAGGTTCTCTCTTTTATGCCTCTTCATCTTACCCAGCCTTTAATTATATGTACACATGATTTTCTTCATTTGTTATTGTTAATTTGTTACTAATTAGTTTCATGTATAATTATAATTGCCTGCATTTTAAGCATGAAATTTCGCTTCTTTGCTAAAATGGTTTATGATAATACTCTAGCTTTTGTGAATACTTATTTTTTGTATGAAGCAATTGCCTAGTGTGCAAAGACTATTTATTGTGGAGAATGGTATATTAAATGCTGGTATTGTGCCTTTTTTATTATTTTTTTTTTATTTTGAGATTCATTGAACTCCTGAATTTACCATCTTGGTCACTGAGAATAATTTAGCTTTAGATTGTGGGTAAACTTTATTCATGCACCAGTTCAACAATCGCTGGTTTACAATGTTTTATGGCTTTTCTTGTTTCTTCATATAGCCTCTTAAATATTTATTCTCTTAATATTCTTTATTTTTACTTTTTATTCTTCGTTTATTTATGATTGGTTTGATGGTGATGTGGTGGATTTAGAAATGGATGATGGTCACGGGAATCTTGATCGAATCGGGCATTAGTTTGCTGATTTGATAATGTGGACAGATGTTGCAAAGTCAAGCCTTTGGTTTGGTCTTAGATGTTTATGTGTCTTGTCTTCTTGTTTTACAAAAGGAGTCAGCTTTAGGTGTGTATTTCTTATTCTCTCTACTGTCTTTTCATTTACATTCTGTTTTGTGTTTTGATTAATTAGATATCTAAATCTTTCCACTTCCATGATATAAGCATCTTTTCGGCGATTTCGCAACTTGGTCTTCTATTCTTGGGTGCTTCATTCTCCTCAAATTCAATTTTGCAAAGGTACAAATCCAATTTGTCTTATCATGTTATCTTCCCATACATTCTCTTTTGTTTTTCTTCTGAGTTTTGGAATTGGGAAATTTACAGGAATAATGATGAAAAGAAGCGTGAGTTTAAGCTGAAAGAAGATGACATTTTGAGATTTGGTAGACTAATTCTTCCAGCCACAAACCTTGAAATTTCAAAGACAAGAGAGCTTTTCTCAGGAGAGCCATCAATGACCCTCAACGTAAGAACAAATATCACTGTTCATGCGTTTAAAGACTCTAAAACATGCCTCTAATTTGCTTCTTATATGAGCTTTGTAATGCTTCTGGTTACAGGTAGTTCCATTTTTGCTTCTAGGATCTGAGTATGGCCATATTATAAGAATGCGGAAGGCTTTTTGCTCTTGGTATGATCACTACAATACTAATACCGATCTCATAATTTGCGATTCTCAATGTTTTTAGCTCCTGATGCAAATGTTCTTGTTGGTGCGAATTTGGGCAGGGTTTTTTAATCTCATAATGAGCAGTATTGGGCACTTTCTTGTTGCTGAGTTTGGCTCATTGGCATATCATTTTACAGAAGATAGAATCAAGGAACTGAAAGATTTAGAAGAGGCTCAAAAGAAGAACCAAACTTTAAGAACTATATTGGCAACACCTTCTCGAGATTTTGTAATTTCAAATGATGGGAAAGAGGTAATATATTTGAATATAAGTTTTACTTGTACCATTGCTTTTATATACATTGCATTGATTTGATTGATCAAATTTCAAATGTATTGGATGATTACTTTTTCTTCAATTTTATGGCATCTGCATCATCTTTCATGTCTTTTCTTATGTTCAAAGTTCTCCAAACTTTTTGTATTGTAGTGTTTTATGTTTGTATTAGATTCTCTAAGTTATTAGGCCTAATTGTTTTGGTTTCTATTCACCAAGTAGTCTATGCAAGAATACATAGTTTTAAATTATTATATAATAGAATACATAGTTTTAAATTATTATATAATAGATCAAAATAAATTTTTACAATAATCTATTATTATAGAAAAATGGATCAAAATAACAATTCATTGATTTCCTTACTTTTAATCTTGTTTGAATAATCTGTTTTTAAGATTTAAAAACAACGTTAGTGGAGGGTGCTTAGGTGTTATTTGCATGTGAAGAATCAAGTGTGGAATGGTAATTAGGTGTTGTGTTTGAAGGGATATTGAGGGTTTAAACATTCAAGTAGTAGTTGTGTTTGAAGGGATAGTTGTGTAGTTGTTGGCGCCTGCATATATTTGCGTGTGAAGAATCTGCTTTTTGCTTTGCTTTCTTAGTGAAAAATCTGCATAAATATGGCTTCATCAATTTCAGTTCACTTTTGATCATCCATGATGTTTGTGATTATATTTGATTATTCTGACATATTAGGATTGAAACATTATTGAGAGTGCATCTGTTGTTAAATTGTGCCGTATTCATTGTTTGATTTCAGTCCATTAGATCATATGCCCAAACATGAATTTTGGGTGTTGATTGTATACTCTAGTGTGAATCTGAATATAATATACTGTCTTCATGTTGAAATCTTATTTCGTTTTTTGTTTTGGGCTGATAAACTCTTGCTTAGTGATTATTCTATTGCTTCTTTGTGGTTGTTATGTTGGGTACTTGTACAATTTTGTTCATAGGTTTCATTGAGTTCTTGTTGCTATTGACATAAAGACTTTAATTGCGTAGAATTGTTATTATCAATAGCAATTAATTTTCAGTTATAATATTTTTTTACCTTTCAAAATTTTAATGGCGACTTTCGAATTAATTTTGTGTAGGGACCCATTCAACCGGGATGCGTTGAATGTGGGTTTTATATAATGAGATACATGAAAGATATAGCAGAGAATGGGTTGGCATTATTGAAAAACAATGTTAAAGTCTTTTTTTTTTTTTTTTTGTTCGTTTTGAATAAGATATAGTTGATATTTATTTGTTGATTAGTCTTATTGTGTTTACTTATATAGTTCATGGGGAAAGAAATATGCGAAGATGTGGAGGTTGATTAAGTCAGAGCTGAATGGGCGATGTACGTAACAAACTTTCTTTAGTTATATATTGTTGTTTCAGTGATGTCGGAGGCCAATGAGTAGGACTGTTCAATGAGGCGAGTCGCTCTCGAGCCGGCTCGCCTTGTCTGGAATTGAGTAGACTCAGCTCGATTCGTGAGAGAGAATGAGCCGAGTTCGAGCCTGCCTAGGCTTGGCTCGATAGGCTCGTGAGCCGAGCCAGGCTCGAATTATTGGGGGGTTTTAGGGGTTTTTTAAAGTATGGGGGATTAAACTAAAAATTTAAAAACAGAAAGTTTCCAAAAATAACAAAAAGAACCCCGATATTAAAATCCCTAAAAATGTGACTGAAACACATTTGCCAGCGAATCCAAACCAAATCAGATTGAAAACAAGAAGAAGAAGATGGGAGGAATGGGAGAGCAGTCAAGACCAAACAAATCAAGCAAGGTGTTGTTCAAATTTGGTAAACAATTCAAGATGTCGTTGGGGTTTGGTGTGCTGCAATTTTGCTTCTCTGTGAGGTTCCTCTTTTGTCTTCTCACTAGGGAACCTTGTTGGTGGTTGGTGTTGGTGATGGCATTGTTTTTGGGTGGGCTGTGTGATTTGTTTTTGGTTTTTTCTTTTTAGTTGGTGGTTGGAAGGTGGGACATGCGGCTTTGTTGGTGAGTGCTTTGGGATTATGTTTTATTTTTTTTGTTGGTTCTGTCATGTAGTGGTGTGGTTCTCTTCAAGGAAGGAGGCAAGGCTTGGAGGCTATTGGGCTTTTAGTTCTTGGAGTTTTTGCAGCAGATGGGTGCTTGGCAGGTGGCTGGTGTTAGCGGTCTGGTGTGTGACTTCTTTGTTGGTTGGTCTACTGATGGTTCTCGGTTTTCGTTCAATTGGTGTGTGTTTGTGAGAGTGTTTCATGTGGTCTCTCAGAGGTGGTTTTGAGACCCTAGGGGTTGGGTTCTCTGCTCTTGGGTTTTAATTTAAAAAAAAAATTGCATATTTTAAACACCAATAAAAATGAACAGGAATAATACTTTGCGTACTAACGGATTTTACTAACCAGTGTACTAACCTTTGTTAAAATCACACATAGTACCCGTACTATGCGTATGGTACCTGTACTATGCTTTAAGTGTACACTGGTTAGTAAAATCCATTAGTACCCATAGCATTATCCAAATGAACAGATGGCAAGCAGCTCTTTCAGTCCTTCTTTATGCCATGTATTTTGTTTCTTACAAATTTTTTTTTTTTTAAACTGTCTCATCCCTCTTTCTCTTTCTTTACTCTTCTTTTTGTTGGGTGCCTCATTCTCTTTCTTTACTCTTCTTTTTGTTGGGTCCCTCATTCTCTTTCTCTCTCTTTCTCTATATTTGTGTATTTTCTTTCTTATCATTTTTTTTTTGGAAATTGTCTCATCCCTCTTTCTCTTTCTTTACTCTTTTGTTGGGTCCCTCACTCTCGCTCACTCTCTCTCTCAAACTCAAAGCTCCATCATTATTAAATCCTCTTCACACAACACAATGTAGCTCTCAAAACCAAACAAAACCCTCTTCTTCTCTTTTCTCTTCTTTGTTTTTCTTTTTTTTGTTAATATGACTGAGTCAGAGTCCTTGAACAATGCCATCTTTTGGTTACCTTCTAAGTTTGAAGATATATTGAAAACTGCATTTTTTTATTGGTTCGCAAGCCGACTTGAATTTGGCTCGTTAATCTGGCTCGCGAGCCAGGCTCGAACTCGGCTTCTCCCTTCAACGAGTCGAGTCGAGTCAATAATTTTTTGACTCGGCTCGACTCGAACTCGTTTTCCTTTTTCTTTTCATGAGCCGAGCTCATTAAGCCAAAAACTCAGCTCGGCTCGGCTCAACTCGTAAACAGCCTTACCAATGAGGGCAAAAACTATGTATCAAACGTTTCATTACTGTTTATGCAATATTGTAAAATTTATGTACTGTTGTTCAATTTTGTTTACTCGGAGCAACAGTAATATATGTATTATTTGATCAATTGTTTGATTTCTCATTATATATCATTGAATGGTCATAACATTATGAAGCATTTTATTTGACTATTCTATAATTTAATACGTAATAATAAAAAAATTTCATTAATTTAAAAAAATAATTAACCAACGAAATCTTGATAGTATGAAAACTGTTAACAACTTTGTTAAAATTCTAAAAAAATAAAATTGAAATTTGGCTAAATCCTTGATAGTTATCAAACTGTCAAGGATCTGTCAAGAAGTCCTTGACAGTTCAAAAGCCGTCATGACCCTTTCTTAGTAGGGATGGGCACATAGCTCGGCCCCACGGGGATCTGCCTTGCCTTGTCTCGAACAGGGCGGATTTTCCCCAAATTTTTCAGGATTCGGGTCGGCCTTGGGCCCAAAATTGCTCCCTGAAATTCAGGGACGGGCTGGGGCTGGGGTTGGGGTTGGCTTTGCCTCGGCCTGCCTCGGCCCACCCCATCCCCGGCCCGTATGTATGTGTATATCTATATATATTATATTAATAATATATATTATATATATATATATTATATATATATATATATATATATATTATATATATACGGCATTAATTTTAATAATTTAAAATCAATCATATATACCTATATTTTATTATTTGAAATCAATTATACATTATATAATCACAATTATAATTGTGTTACTTTAGTATGATGGTTTTTACTTTTACTATGGTAACATTAAGATTAATTTTTTTTTTTTTTTTATAACATGGTCTTTACGTTTAAGATGTATATTATATATTTAATTTCTTTTTTGGTTGGTATATATAATTGGGAGAAAATAATAATAAAAGTATAAATTAAGGGAAAAAAAAAACCCAAACGGGGAATTTGGGGAATGAGCTTTTTTTGGGGATTTTCCGAACGGGCTTCGGGCTGGGATCGGGGAATCCCCTCGGGGCTTTCGGGCCGAGGTCAGAGATAGTGGTCCTCAGCTCCGCCCCAGCCCTTGCCCATCCCTAGGGGCTATAATGACAGTTCAAAAACTATCATTGTATCTCCTTCTTAACGGGGAATCCTTGTCAAGAAAGCCCTTTTTCCTTGTACTGCAATTTCCAACATCTCCAACCATATTTCAGATTGGCGATTTACATTCAAAGAGACCATGTGCACTTCAATGAATATGTTTTTGCTTTTGCTTGGATACGTCCAGACCCCCAAATTCATCCTCAAAGTCGCCATATACGCCAGCAATCCAAAATGATATCCGTTTGGCTGCTTCTCCCAAAGTTTCATCTGCTCCCCAATCAACCTGATGAGACAATAAAATGTTAATGCATTAAGCAATCATCGTACAAATCTTTACATACCAAAAACAAAGCAAAAACCCTTTTCATCTTTTTATAAAACTCCATGTACCTCAGGGAACTTCATTTTTTGGACTATTTTACTATTTTGTGATCTGACAAGAAGTTCTTCCAATTCATTGCTCATGGTATCATCACTGCCGCTTTTGTATTTATAAGGAATACATCTGCGAATTCGGACATTTCCATATGAGCAACTTGTTGAATATTGGCTCTAATTTAACGAATTTGTCACTAAAGGCAAACGTGTCTTGTTCTTTCTTTATAAGCCTTTGTTTTCGTTATTTTGTAACATTTGTTTTTTATCTCAATATATTAGAACCTAACATCACCACCAAAAAATAATAATAATAATAAAAAACAAAAGGTCATAGATTATTATTTGACCGAACTATCCTTACATTTAAATCTTGTTGTTTCGTGTTTGAGATTCTTGGTTAGATATGGCACATCATATGTTTCATAAATTTCCACACTTAGTTTTTTTCAACACCATTGCTATATTACTTCAAAAATGGAACCAAATAAACAAACAAGAACAAACAGCAAATGAACCAAATAAACAAACAAGAACAAACAGCAAATGAAGACACTTGAACATGGTAACAAAAGGCTCAAAGAAATTCAAATTAAGAGCATCGTTGTAGCAAATTGCTTGATGGGGAGAATTCAAAAATAAATTGTAATCGGTACAAGAAAAAATCAGTATTACATCTTATCAGTAAGACTACATTGACTGACTGAAATACCGACTGACACATCCTGACTGATGTGTCAGTTTATGTGGCATATGCCACACGTCAGATTCATGCCACATCAGACCCCAAAAACTTAAAAAGAAATTTAAATTCCCTCCAAATCAAAAATCTCTGCCAAAAATTTCACACCTTCTCCTAAATCAAATTTCACTCATTCCCCTAAATCAAATCTCTCTCCCAAAATTGAAATTGCTCTCCCACCAATATATCCTCTCCCACCACCACCACCCTACCACCAGCACCGCGGGCTATCGTCTTCCACCACCACTTGCAGTAGTCATTCGGTTTGCCTCTTCCACCAACGCTCTATCCTTTACAGGACCCATACTTTTCGAGCCTCTACCACCACCGCCATCTGTCCTCTAACACCACCACCACTCGCAGTAGTCCATAACGAAAAAATTACGACTTTGGCGGGTTGAGTTGCGGCATGTACCCTCTTCCAGTACGACTTGCAGGAGTCCTTAACGGAACCGAGAAAGGGAGGAGGATCTGTGACCTAGCTAGTGGTAAATCATTTATTTTGTTTAGATTGAAAAGTGCATGGGAGACTTTGAGGGAGACGTTGACAATCCTGTTCTGAAAGAAGAGTAGATGCCCAGGTAATATTTTGTACTGTTATTAAATTTTAGTACATCTTGATATGTTTCAGTATGTTTAGGCACATAAAGTTACATTATGCAATGCTTTTCTTTTCCCTTTCTGTTTCAAAATTGGTGTTCTTAGCTCAGTTATACATAACACGTTGATAAGAGCACTTTCTGTAGGTTGGTAAAAGGATTAAGGGGTGATGTAACCATCACAATATGGGGGTCTGTATGTGTTATGTTTTGTACATAAAAATGTGAAGTTTTTCCCTTTACTGAAATATGTTCTGCTTCTTGCAGTAAAGTTGGAGAAAGGTGTTGTCCTGAGGGCCATTTGTGCTGGTTTTGAGGAACCAATTGAGCCAGCTGTTTGTTTGAGTGGTGGTAAGCTTTAATTTTAGTCTGATACTAATTAGGGAAAATGTGTTACACTTGTTGGGTCATATATAGTTTATCTGGTGCAACAATTGAAGTCTCAAAGCTTCAATACTTAAGTGCGCTAATTGAATCTTGAAATTGGAGAGGTTAGAACATATTCAAGACCCTTTGGTGGGGAGTTGGAACCTTCACTGAGTATGGTTTAACTCCTGGAGATGTGTTTGGTTTGAACATAAGTTCTCAGTGTACTAATGTGGTTGAGTTATTGTATCTTGCAAAGGGATCAAAAGAACATAGATTTCAGGAAGTTGGATACTCATGTTTATCAACTAAAGGGCAACAGCTCCATTGATGTATGTTATAGTACGAAATTAATGATTTCCTAAAGGAAATATGCACCCTTGCTTCAATGAAATTCAGTCTTCTAAGATCTGTTAATTTGTTTTATTTTGTTTCTGTTTCTGGAAGCCGAAATTTAACTGATTTTGCTGTTTTTAAACTCAACTTTATTTTGATTGAGTTTTTGATCTGTTGGTTAATAGTCATTGATTTGGATACTGTTTGACTGATGCGTTCAAAGTTAAAATTGGAGTAATTAGATTGGTTCAATTTTGTTTCCTTGGTTACTTTGATCTGATTTCTGTCGTGGCTTCATTCATTAGAGTTTTTTAATGGTTTCATTTATAGCATTTTCAATTTGAGTCATTTTTAGAGCTTGTTAAATTTTCTTTAGAAATATTATTGATAGTATGAGTGATTGCAAAGTGTTTGTGGTGAAAAATGATTGATTAGTTGCTCTCTGAATTGTTGTAAGTTTTTTTGTTTTAGTTCATAAATCTTACTGTATATTAAAATGGTTTTTTAAAGTTAAATGCATAATTGTTCAATTCATTAGAAGCTACTTTTGGATCTCATTGCTGTTTTTATTGAAATTGGTTGATTCTTAATATTATTATCTCCCTTTTGGCATCTGGAAGAATTTGTAGAAATTCTTTTTTGGGCTGCTGTATGTTATTTTGATGTCATTCTTTTGGAAACTTTATTTGTTTGTAGAAATATTCTTTGTTTGAGTCTTTTTCTAGACTGAGTTGACTGCATTAGCTGACATATATATTTTGATGTTACAGCCTCTGTCAGTTGAGTTTGGACCTGGAATATTGGGAAATATTTTTTATGGCATTCTGGTTTGGAGCTAAACTTCTTTTATTCTCTTTTCAATGAGTCCAAAGATGGGCGTTCTGGAGAGAACTTGATCAAGAACAGGCAGTTGGAGTTGAATCTAGAGAATGATGGCCTGGCTGTCTTGTTTGGAGTTGAGTGTTTTGCCTGGTTCTGTGGAGATGAGATTATTGGAAGAGGCTTCACAGTTGTAGGTTTCTGTGTTTGATTTCAATTCCTTCAGGATTTTCATAATTTTAATACTGATATTCCAATAATAATAATAATAATCAGTTTTGTCCCTTTCGTTTAATTTAATTTGCTGTCGATGAAATCCACAAGTAAGTTGATACATTTAGGATACTCTTTGTTCACTATTTTCTAGAGAATCAATTCCTGAGAACATTCAACATAATATTCCAGACATTTCCAGGAATGATTCCAGATGTATTAATCTAAAGTCATTTATATGATCCATCAACTCAAAATGTGAAAGCATTGATTTTGTAAACAAGCATTTCAAATAATCAAACCGGTATCAGAATTATCAGCCGTTGAAAAACCTGCAAATATGAGAAAAGGAGAGAAGAAACTACGTGCGAATTAATTAAGCTAAATAGTTCTTGAATGATCAAATCAATGCCATGTCAAACCAGCAATGGAGAATAAGATGTTCACTAAATAAACTTTCCCTGGAATCAATTCTTCTGCAAATGGGTCTTGAAACTGAAAGAATCTACACATGCATTTATGTTTCAAAAGTCATTGCTTCAGGTTTCAAACGATAGGGAAAAATTGCTATGTTGTCTAAAATTAAGTTGAAACGAATTGCAGGGAAAAATTGTTATGTTGTCTAATATTAAGTTGAAACGAATTGCAAAATTTGAAGTAGTTCTAAAATTTAGGTGATTCAACCAAGTTCTTGATTATTTTCAACAGTTTATTGATATATAAAGAGCTCCATCAAGAGAAGCGAATAGCATACAACAATGTTCATGTTCTCTTTATGAATCTAAACTTTACGCCGTGCTTGAAGTTGAGGACTATGCCATATTCAAGTTCAATAGGTTTTTAAGAGAAAGGAGTTGTTAGAAACCCAGCTTGCAAAAAATGTGATTTATATAGGTCATAATTCTAATCAAACTTGTCCAAATTATAATTCCCCATGGTCCTTGTTTATTTTATAAAATGCTACTGTCATGGCATGATGAGCTGCGCAGAGAAAATTTAAGTTGATGTAGTGATTCCAAATTAGGCTCTCCCACTTGAAAATATTGAGAAAACAATTTGCTGAACATATTAATGATCAATCCAACCCATTGTTTTTCCTAAAAATCACTGGCCTAAGAATTCAGCAATTCCATACCATCTTTTTCTCCCCCTTTAACCAGTAAATGTTCCTTCCTCAAGTCAATGTGCATCAGATTCAAATATTCACAATAGTATTACACAATTTAATGTGATTTTCTTTTCTTTCCTATTATTTTTTCTCTAAATGCTTGGTAAGCAACTCACATTCTTTGCAAGTATCTTATGTTTTTTGCCAACCAAATATTCACAATAATATTACACATATAAAAGTAAATAATTTTCCTATAAGAAAAAAAAAAAAAAAAAAAAGAAAATTAGAAATAGATACCAACTAACATTCTATATCTGCTAAAAGTAAATACACAGTAAATATAAATCAAAATATTATAACATTAACATCATTTCCTTGGTTTAGTCAGCAGAACTCTCAAGTTCACAATATGTGAAAGAAACGATGATTCTCAAATAACGCATTCATCAGATTAAAATTCATCTCTTAATTAAACTTACACAAATATAGAGACTAAATGTACAACAATCTCACCTTCACAGTGGCTGTAGCCATCTCATTTGAACTGCACACCATTAACCAGGGGGCATTCACATACCCTCCCACGGAATGTATCCTGTAGAAGCATAAACAACTCAATAACTCAGCTAAATAAATAAACAAAAAAAATCAATTATAACAAATATGAAATAAAACAATAACCTACCAAGCCAAACGGTTACATCCATACCTTGCAGGCTGTGATGTTGGCTCCTATATCTTGCCAGCAACCCCCACTATTATCCAAGCACTCATTTGTCTCTACATCTGCCATAGAAAAATGTTCACTCATGAACTTATGTTCAAAACAAACACATCTCCAAGAGTTAAACCATGCTCAGTGAAGGTTCCAACTCCCACCAAAGGGTCCTGAATATGTTCTAACCTCTCCAATTTCAAGATTCAATTAGCGCACTTAAGTATTGAAGCTTTGAGACTTCAATTGTTGCACCAGATAAACTATATATGACCCAACAAGTGTAACACATTTTCCCTAATTAGTATCAGACTAAAATTAAAGCTTACCACCACTCAAACAAACAGTTGGCAGTTGGCTCAGTTGGTTGCTCAAAACCAGCACAAATGGCCCTCAGGACAGCACCTTTCTCCAACTTTACTGCAAGAAGCAGCACATACTTCAGTAAAGGGAAAAACTTCACATTTTTATCTACAAAACATAACATCACATACAGACCTCGATATTGTGATGGTTACATCACCCCTTGATCCTTTTACCAACCCACAGAAAGTGCTCTTATCAACGTGGTTATGTATAACTGAGCTAAAAAAACACCAATTTTGAAATAGAAAGGGAAAAGAAAAGCATTGCATAATGTAACTTTATGTGCCTAAACGTACTGAAACATATCAAGACGTACTAAAATTTAATAACAGTACAAAATATTACTTGGGCATCTGCTCTTCTTTTAGAACAAGATTGTCAACGTCTACCTCAGAGTCTCCCATGCACTTTTCAATCTAAAAAAAATAAATGATTTACCACTAGCTAGGTCACAGATCCTCCTCCCTTCCTCGGTTCCGTTAAGGACTCCTGTGAGTCATACTGGAAGAGGGTGCATGCCGCAACCCGACCCGCCAAAGCTGTAATTTTTCCATTATGGACTACTGCGAGTGGTGGCGGTGTTAGAGGACAAACAGCAGTGGTGGTAGAGGCTCGAAAAGTGTGGGTCCTGTAAAGGATAGAGCGTTGGTGGAAGAGGTAGACCGAATGACTACTGCAAGTGGTGGTGGAAGACGATAGCCTGTGGTGGTGGTGGGAGAGGATAGATTGGTGAGAGAGCAATTTCAACTTTGGGAGAGAGATTTGATTTAGGGGAATGCGCGAAATTTGATTTAGGAGGTGGTGTGAAATTTTTGGGAGAGATTTTTGATTTGGAGGGAATTTAATTTTTTTTTTTTTTTTTTAAGTTTTTGGGGTCTGACGTGGCGTGAATCTAACATGTGGTATATGCCACATAGACTGACACGTCAGTCAGGATGTGTCGGTCGGTATTTTAATCGGTCAATGTAGTCTTATTGTTAAGGGCAATTGTGTATTTTCTCTTTTAGTTGTAAAAAATCTGTAAAGACTTCATATATTGTACGGTGTCTTTGAGATTGAGTAACATAACAGANAAAAAAAAAAAAAAAAAGAAAATTAGAAATAGATACCAACTAACATTCTATATCTGCTAAAAGTAAATACACAGTAAATATAAATCAAAATATTATAACATTAACATCATTTCCTTGGTTTAGTCAGCAGAACTCTCAAGTTCACAATATGTGAAAGAAACGATGATTCTCAAATAACGCATTCATCAGATTAAAATTCATCTCTTAATTAAACTTACACAAATATAGAGACTAAATGTACAACAATCTCACCTTCACAGTGGCTGTAGCCATCTCATTTGAACTGCACACCATTAACCAGGGGGCATTCACATACCCTCCCACGGAATGTATCCTGTAGAAGCATAAACAACTCAATAACTCAGCTAAATAAATAAACAAAAAAAATCAATTATAACAACTATGAAATAAAACAATAACCTACCAAGCCAAACGATTACATCCATACCTTGCAGGCTGTGATGTTGGCTCCTATATCTTGCCAGCAACCCCCACTATTATCCAAGCACTCATTTGTCTCTACATCTGCCATAGAAAAATGTTCACTCATGAACTTATGTTCAAAACAAACACATCTCCAAGAGTTAAACCATGCTCAGTGAAGGTTCCAACTCCCACCAAAGGGTCCTGAATATGTTCTAACCTCTCCAATTTCAAGATTCAATTAGCGCACTTAAGTATTGAAGCTTTGAGACTTCAATTGTTTCACCAGATAAACTATATATGACCCAACAAGTGTAACACATTTTCCCTAATTAGTATCAGACTAAAATTAAAGCTTACCACCACTCAAACAAATAGCTGGCTCAGTTGGTTCCTCAAAACCAACACAAATGACCCTCAGGACAGCACCTTTCTCCAACTTTACTGCAAGAAGCAAAACATACTTCAGTAAAGGGAAAAACTTCACATTTTTATCTACAAAACATAACATCACATACAGACCTCGATATTGTGATGGTTACATCACCCCTTGATCCTTTTACCAACCCACAGAAAGTGCTCTTATCAACGTGGTTATGTATAACTGAGCTAAAAAAACACCAATTTTGAAATAGAAAGGGAAAAGAAAAGCATTGCATAATGTAACTTTATGTGCCTAAACGTACTGAAACATATCAAGACGTACTAAAATTTAATAACAGTACAAAATATTACTTGGGCATCTGCTCTTCTTTTAGAACAAGATTGTCAACGTCTACCTCAGAGTCTCCCATGCACTTTTCAATCTAAAAAAAATAAATGATTTACCACTAGCTAGGTCACAGATCCTCCTCCCTTCCTCGGTTCCGTTAAGGACTCCTGTGAGTCATACTGGAAGAGGGTGCATGCCGCAACCCGACCCGCCAAAGCTGTAATTTTTCCATTATGGACTACTGCGAGTGGTGGCGGTGTTAGAGGACAAACAGCAGTGGTGGTAGAGGCTCGAAAAGTGTGGGTCCTGTAAAGGATAGAGCGTTGGTGGAAGAGGTAGACCGAATGACTACTGCAAGTGGTGGTGGAAGACGATAGCCTGTGGTGGTGGTGGGAGAGGATAGATTGGTGAGAGAGCAATTTCAACTTTGGGAGAGAGATTTGATTTAGGGGAATGCGCGAAATTTGATTTAGGAGGTGGTGTGAAATTTTTGGGAGAGATTTTTGATTTGGAGGGAATTTAATTTTTTTTTTTTTTTTTTAAGTTTTTGGGGTCTGACGTGGCGTGAATCTAACATGTGGTATATGCCACATAGACTGACACGTCAGTCAGGATGTGTCGGTCGGTATTTTAATCGGTCAATGTAGTCTTATTGTTAAGGGCAATTGTGTATTTTCTCTTTTAGTTGTAAAAAATCTGTAAAGACTTCATATATTGTTCGGTGTCTCTGAGATTGAATAACATAACATAAATTTTTCCTTTCTTCTCTCCAAACACAAATCCAACATGGTATCAGAGCAAGAATGCGATTCTTAAATAATTGCAATAATAGGTCCTAATTTCTCTTCTATTTCATAGCCCTAAAACACTTCTTAGCTCTAATTCTTTCAATTTGTTTTGGAAACCAGAATCAAATTGATTTGCATGAATGGAGCAACAAGGGCAAACTACGATGTCGGCGAATCAAATCAATTTTCACAATCCACTTTATCTTCATCGGAGCGATACTTTTGATGTGATGCTTGTCTCCCAACAATTAACAGGATTTGAGAATTATTCAAATTGGAGTAGAGCAATGATTGTTGTGCTTACAGCCAAGAACAAGATTGGCTTCATCAATGGATCTTGTACCAAATCCACTCTTGATTCATCTTTACACAGTTTTTGGGAGAGAGTAAATGCTATCGTACTATCATGGATCTTTAATTCAGTGTCTAAAGAAATTTTTGGTGGAGTTGTTTATGAGACAAACGCAAGTATTGTTTGGGCAGATCTCAAAGAACGATTTGATAAAGTCAATGAAATGAGGATATATGCTATACACAAAGAAATAGCTTCTGTTAATCAAGGTACACATTGTGTTTGTGCCTATTATTCGCGTCTAAAGGTCCTTTGGGATGAATATTGGTCCATGGTCAGTTTGCAATGAATTGAATACGCAATTCCTTAAATTCTCTCCCATATTCTTTTTCTTTATTTTTTCCGAACAAGAGATAGGAAAGAAAAATGCGAAAAAAATTCGGAATGAAAGGCGTCCATTGTCTAATGGATAGGACAGAGGTCTTCTAAACCTTGGGTATAGGTTCAAATCCTATTGGACGCAATTTTTTTCCATTTCTATATTATATTCTAATAGGATTATTTTAATAACTAATTAAAAATTAACTAATTAAAAATAATAAATTCAAATTCCTTATTACTTCTATCTTAATTTTTTTTTATTAATATTTAATATTCCATTTTTTGAATATTCAATTCTAAATCGAATTCAGTATTTGAAAGATTAAGAGTTGTGAGGGATCGAAGAAGTATCGAGACCTTCAAGAACAATAAAAGCTTTTTCAGTTCTTAATGGGTCTCAATGTGTGTAGGAGTACAATATTGATGATGAATCTGTTGCCCACAATAAATCAAGCCCATTCGATAGCCACTCAAGATGAATCACAAAGACAAATTGTCTCTAGACAATCCAACAATGAAGTTACTATTGCATTAGTTTTTACAAATAATGCAAATAAAGGCGGAAATTACAAGGGCAAAAGACCTTTGATAATCTGTGAGTATTGCAATAATCCAGGTCACAAGAAGGACAATTGCTGGAACCTTCACGGATATCTTGAAGGACATAAGTTCTACAAACCAAAAGGACACAGTGGAACCAAAGGGAACAATGCTGCAAATTCAGCTTCCGTAAACATCTCAGCATCCACCACTAGCAATTCTCAACAGAAAATGCAGACACAAGCCTCTGTTCTAACTACAGAGCAATACAATAATCTCCTTAAGTTGCTTGGCAAAGAAAACACACGGCCTTCTGCAAATCTAGCAGGTACTTATACTAGTCTTTTAAGCTCATTTAATAATACTAATTGGGTTATTGATTGTGGGGCAAGTCATCATATGACATCAAACAAAAATCTTCTTGAATCATGTGTGTCTTTTCCTTCTGATTTTGACTCATTAGTATCTCTTCTAAATGGCAAATATATTCCTATTACTCACATAGGTTCAGTTTAATTAAATTCTCAGTCACGTTTACATAAAGTATTTTATCTCCCAGATTTCAAATATAACCTTTTGTCAGTGTCAAAATTCACAACTAAAAACCATGGCAGTGTCACATTTTATCATCAATTGTGCACTTTTCAGGACCTCTTGAGTGGAGTGTTGAAGAGGATTGGTAAGGTCAAGCATGGTCTTTATCAACTTGAATATTTTCCTGATGAAACTTGTAATCTTGAACAAATAAGTGATTTTCACACTACTTCAGATGGTTTTATTATTATTATTATTATTATTATTATTATTATTATTATTATTATTATTCTGATTGTAATGATGTAGATTCATGTAATGAAATTTCTTTTCATATGAATAAAATGTTGACTTGTTCTTCATCGTATACTGAGTTCAATATTTGGCACAAAAGACTCGACCATATTTCAAATTCAAGAATGAAACTTATTCCACATTTAGCTAATTATAATGTAACTGAATGTATGATTTGTCCTTTCGCAAAACAAACCAGATTGCCTTTCCCACATAGTCATTCAGTTACAAAGTGTGTTTTTGAACTCATTCATGTAGATTCATGGGGTCCATATAAAGAGCCGACTCACAATGGTGCACGATATTTTTTAACTATTGTTAATGATTTTTCTTACACCACTTGGGTTTTTTTGATGTCTTACAAATCTGAAGCATCCACTTTGTTACAAAAATTCATCAAAATGATTGAACACCAATTCAAAACTCATGTTAAAAAGGTTAGATCTGATAATGGCTTGGAATTTCTTAATAGTGACACAAAAGAATTCTTTGCATCTCTAGGAATAATCTATGAAACATTGTGTGTGTACACTCTACAACAAAATGGTTTGGTGGATAGAAAATTTAGACACATATTGAATATTGCTAGAGCACTTATGCATCAAGCTTTTATTCTTTCAAAGTTTTGGGGAGAATGTGTTAAACTGCATCATATCTCATTAACAGAATTCCAACTCCCATTGTCAAAAACAAAACACCATATGAAATTTTACTTAAAACATCTCCTTCAATAGATCATCTTAAGATTTTGGATGTCTTGATTATGCCACTAAGCTCAATAATCATAATAAATTTTCATCTCAGTCAATTGCTTGTGTATTTTTTGGCTATTATGTTACTCAAAAGACATACATATTATATGATCTTGAATCTGAAAAAAAAAAATTGTGTCATAGGATGTCATTTTTTATAAGTCTACATTCCTATTTGCATTATCTACATCTAATAATTAGTGTCGAATTCCAAAATCGTTTGCTGTGGATATTGATGCACCACTTTATCCTATACCTAAGGCACATGATCACCTCCTCATTGATACTCCACTGGACAATACTGATTCTCCACATACCACACAACCTGTATCACCAAATATTCCACCACCAGATTCTGAATCATTAGTCTCTATATCTGACCATAATGCTCCTGTTCCCACATTAACAACAGTAGCCCCATTATTCCCCTCTAGACATTCTACTCGAGTATCCAAGCCGTCAATTTGGTCCAAGGACTATATATGTCCTATTATCAAGTCAAACACATCTTCTTGTTCCATTAAATATCCTATATCCAATTATGTTTCTTATGGTAATATTTCTCGAACATATTTGGCTTTTATTTCTTCTTTTTCTTCTCTAGTTGAACCTACTTCATTTTTAGAAGCTTCTAAAGATCCATTGTGGATAGAAGCTATGAAACATGAGATTCAAGCTTTAAAAAACAATAATACTTGGTCTGTGGTAGATTTGCCTAAGAATCACAAGCCAATTGGGTGTAAATGGGTTTATAAGATAAAATATAAGTATGATGGTACAATAGAAAGGTATAAGGCCAGGTTAGTAGCCAAGGCATTTAATCAAAAAGAGGGGATTGATTTTAAGGAGACCCTTTCTCTTTTTGCAAAGATGGTGACAGTAAGATATGTTTTGGGTTTAACTTCAATTAAGGGTTGGCCTTTAAATCAAATGGATGTATATAATGCATTTTTGCAAGGAGATCTCTATGAGGATGTTT